CACTTTTTGATTTCGTTTGCACACCACTTGTGCTTTATTCTGAGCTGTCACAACGCACACGAGCTCTCGTTGATGGATACCTCTGTTCCACGCTTGAATTTTTTCCTGCTTTCGCTTATAGTAGCTCACTGAGCCGTTGGCAAACAGAGGGAGTCTCCAAAACTGTCTTGAAACAAACACCTGTACACCAAAGGAGAATGTCTTTCTGCGTAAATTCTGTATTCCTGCCAGCGACAATTGTCCATCCTCCTTAAAGTAAGTCATTCTCATCACGTAGCTGCAAATATGTAGTGGATTTCTGTGGAAAAGTTATAAACATAACAAATATCTTACCTGTTTCAGAAAACTCTTTGAACAGCCCAAGTTTGCAGAACTTTGGAAGTTTAATTCTAACTGGACTGATGACTTCATGGCTAATAGTAGCAAAGTCAAGACTGAAGTGGATTTCTGACTAAATAAAACTTGTCTTGAATATTTTGGGAAAAAAAAAAAAAAAAAAAAACACCTACATATTTACATTTTTAAGCCCACTCCAGAAGAAATGGACACCTTTATTATTTGGTTTGCTTTTCTAGTTTATAATGACAAACTTTCTGTGGGTTGCACCGTTACCGACTCATCTTAGTGGTCCATTAAAATGATTTTCTCACCAAATTTTGAACAATGATTGGAGAAATTTCACTTATTACTTCCTCTGCAACAAGAAAAGATCATGTTTTAGAGGCTGTTTTAAAAGAATTGTTTATGGATAATGAAAACAATTGCAAATTTATTTTACAACTAATAATACAATAGTCCCTTGCTACTTCACAGTTCATTTTTCACAGATTCGCTCTATCGCGGTTTTTCAAAGTAAGATTGATCATGACACACAGTTGGCTGATTGATGGTTGAGCCGCATGATCAGCATGGAATTTTTATTTTAAATAAATTATTTTAAATTATTTCGCATCTGTGTGCAGCTTACAGCTGCGGGAGAAGCTTCCCTCTGCAGCTGATCAGCTGATATCTGCTCTGCAGAGGAGAAGTGGGCGTGGCCGAGAAAGCTAACATGTGACAGAGTGCAGCCGGAGGCAGAGAGCGGAGATCATGACATTCTGTGATATATATATATATATATATATATATATATATATATATATACTATTACTTACTACTTGTACTATCATTCCTACTTCGCGGTTTTTCAGGATAGGGATCCCCAATGATAAATGAGGGCTTACTGTATACGTTACTAGTTTTACATCGTAATCTTTTTTATCATAAAAAATAAATGGGGTTAAACTCTGCTAAATTATGTAACATGTTTCTACAACTCTTCCTGACAAAAGTAAAAACAAATTGATGACGCAGAGAAAATGCATTTATTTTAGTAATGAGCAGATTTAGTGGTTAAAGCCTTCTTTCCATTTTGGTATTTTCCTAACCACCAGTTGTTATATTTTCCCCAAAGTACAAACAGGTAGAAGGAGCTTCGGTGGCTGAAAGACACTGGGTTAGGGTCTCTCTTTAAATGGATCCAGTTTCTATCATAATACCACAGTCATAAAGTCAGAACCGCTCAGTTTACTGAAGGACCACAGGTCTGAAATAATGTGTACTCCGAACAGAGAGAGCTGTCTCTGCATCCTCGCATACTTTCCTGGTACACTGCCAGCGTGTCCGCACTTTATGGGGTGAAAGTCCAAAAATGTCATCTGCATGGTTGTCTGTAAATGCACAAACCACTCATTTGGTGGAAATTACAGTCTGTGGTTGCTCCAAAACAGCACAAAATTTCTTATAAGGCCTGTTGTTTGCATTTTAGGTGTTGCTTCTCCCTTCATTATAACATATAGGGTGTGTTCAATACACAGAAAATTGCCCTCACGAGACCTTACCACAGGGGAGCCCTTGTTTCCATTTACAGTAAATGTGGACAGCTTTGCTGTAAGTCTGAAATTCTTTAGGCCAGCCGAGGGAGCGTATGTTTACCGTTTATTATAGCACAATGAAAGCTGTGTTTTACACCTTCACAATCGTTGCAGTTTGATTCCAACCTTCCAAATTGTGATTTCCTGTGTTGCTGTTTGCGTGGCCACTCTCTCCGGCCTATAACCAGTCTCTGTATCAGCTGTCCGCTCCATCTCGTTAAGCAACTTTCCTGTCAATCATTGCCACAGTGGCAGTTTTGTTCCTGGTCCTTCTCAGCAGAAACCCTCACTCTGAGGAACAGAGGACAAAGGGATGACGGATGGGCGAAGATCCCTGACAGGGAAGTACAGTATGGAAGGTGTGTGCTGTAAAGGATGACAATGAACACCATTCATGCTGACACAATGCAGCTTAGCCCGGCGAAGCTGTGAGTGTAGCCCGGCACAACATTCGGCCATCAGCTGCTCTCAGCTTGGGGTGATCACCGAGGCCTGAACAACACTCCCATTGACTGAAACAAGTAAAACAAGAGGAAACACACCAAATTAATGACCTAGCATTTTTTGGAGGAATGCATATTGCCTGCTTTCTCTCATGTCAGAGTTCAACCTAGATCATCTAATGTTAAACATGTTGGGAAATGATGGAGCTATAGGAGTTAAGATTATAAAACCACCTTGAAAATACCATCATGCAATATCTTGCACATTATCACTGGGAGTATGTGTTGTGAAAAACTCTCAGCTCCTACATCAAACTTTACTTCAATGTCTGTAAAACTGGTAGCTCTATAGCTATTTTTGTGTTTGCTGAGGTTGACTAGTTAAGACAGACAACTTGAATTGGGTTGACTCCAGAAGTTAACCAGTTATAGATTCAGTGATTACTTTCTGATCGTTTCATTAAAATTCATCCAGTGCTTCGTGAGACATTTTACTCCTTACCCATAAGCTGCTATATTCATATCCATCTGCTCACTACAGACTCATGTTCAGGCTGCTGTTTACTGGCAATACACTGTATTATATTAAATTCAATTCAGTTTATTTATATAGCGCCAAGTCACAACAGAAGTCATATCAGGGCACTGAACAGAAACATTCTTATAAAAACAAGTTAACAGAAATATTAATGTATATAAATAATAATTTAACATTATTTATCTGAGGAGCAGACTGCTTTGAATTCAACTCCATCACAGAACCCTCAACTTGAGCAACCATGAAGGTGACAGTGGAAAGGAAAAACTCCCTCATGAGGAAGAAACCTTTAGCAGAACCAGCTCAGGACAAGCGGCCATCTGCTCCGACCGGCTGAGTTTGAGAGGAACAAGAAGGAGGAACAGATACACAATGGCAGGTCACGTTAAGATAGAAATAATATCAAATGAAAACTATTCAATTTTAGCAAATCATTTAAGGAAATGAGGTCAAGTTTGTTCTCTAGTAGTCTAAGCCTATAGCAGCATAACAAGCCAACCCTAACTATAGGATTTATCAAAAAGTAAAGTCTTAAGCCCAGTCTTAAACTGGACAATGTGTCAGCCTCATGGACAGAAACTGGAAGTTGGTTCCACAAGAGAGGAACCTGATAACTGAAAGATCTTCCTCCCTTTCTGCTCTTGGAAACTCTAGGGACCACGAGTAAACCTGCAGTCTGAGAGTTATGTGCTCTGTTAGGAAAATATGAAACAATAAGATCTGTAATATAAGATGTAGCTAGGTTGTTGAGAGCTTTGTAGGTTAGAAATAAGATTTTGAATTCAATTCTGGATTTGACAGGGAGCCAATGGAGAGAAGCTAAAACTGGAGAGATGTGATCTCTCCCACTAACTCCAGTTAAGACTCTGGCAGCAGCATTTTGGATCAACGTAAGACTTTTTAAAGAAGTATTTAGACACCCATATAACAAACCATTGCAACAGTTCAGTCTAGACGTGGCATTATTATTGTTTAGCATATATCTTAGATCCTTGTATACTGTTTCCTTTTTATATAGTTTATATACTGTTTGTTATTTTTGGGTGTAACTGGGACCTTGAGTACACAATTTTGTTCCACCTTATGTACCCACATGTGATGCAAATGACAACAAAGAACCTTGAACCTTGCTAAGACCCCCCCCCCCCACACACACACACACACACACACACAGGCAGAACTATTATCGCCCTCTGTTCAAAGAGCTATCTGTAACAGGTAAGATATTAGTTGTTTATTGCTTTGCCTGTCTTTTGGCAGCAGATAATAAATTTGGGATATTTGGACAAATGCTGCAAAGAATGAGAGACTTAAGTCGAGTAGCGTGAAAGGAAAAACACACATAAGGGTCACACTTAGAGCAGAAGAGGATCATCTTTTCCTTCTGACTCATCCCATCTTCTGGCTGTGAGTCCCACCCGGCCACCACGTGTTGCTGGCCTGCACAGATCCATGTCCCCTCTGCCTTCCCTCTGATCAGTAGCTCTGCCGCCCGCTCACTCCAACAAGCCGGCTCGCCGTTTGTGTGAGCGTGTTTATTTTAGAACGTGTGACTCACACTTCCTGTGCTCTGCCAGTGAGGCGAGTCTCTCTGGAACAGCAGGACCTCCGCTCATTCTCAATTCTCTCTTTCTCTTTCTGTTTCTCCCCGACCCCATCCTTTCCTTGCTTGCTGCTGATAGGCCCGTCCCGAGGTCTGCGTATTGCATGGGGGCTCGTTTGAATGGATCCCACACTGGAATCCATTTACAGATGCTGGTTGAAGCTGGAAGGAGGCGTGTTCAGAGCATTTTGTCACGCACTCCTTTTACAGTAAGATGCGTTTGGTGATAAGAAGGTGATGATTGCAGCGAAGCAGCTTCAGGTTCTGTTGCAGAGCGGGACCCCCCCATGTCTGTAATCTGGTCTGTGGGCAGTGTGCCACAAACGTGTGTGAGTTAAAGAAACAGCAGCAAAAATAATAATAACTGCAATGAAACGAGATTTTCCTGAGATTTCTTCCATTTCCTCCTCATGTTTGTATAGTGGAGACATTCATTCAGTGTCTTCCTCTCGCCCTCTTTCTCCATCACTCATTTTTCTGGCCTCTCTCTCCCTCTCTTTCAGCTACACACCCACTCAAGCAGTCATATCCGCTCTCACTCTCTGGCTCTCCCTGCTCGTCTCGCAGTGCCTGTGAAGCGTCTCTGAGGGGGAAGACCAGTCTGCTGTCAGGTAATCTAAACTCTCTTACTCCATGCCTCACTCACACTCTCCGCTTTTTATTTGTATTTTTTTCCTCTTTTATTTGAAACCATCTGAAATTGCTCCACTTTGTGGTTCATTGATGCAAATTTTTGCCTTTTTTGCCCATCTTGTAATAAAGCGTCTGAGCTGATGTTTGAGGATGTTATTTTGCGTTTTCACGTTTCTTATTTAAACGAAGGTAAAACAGACACTTTTAAACTATTTAGATTTTATGACACAAGAGTTTAAATTCATACATTTACATTGAGGCAAAAAAAGTAAGCTACGTGCTCGTGCTCTTTATTTCATTCTGTTGAAAACTTTGGAGCTTTAGAGCTTCTCCTTGTTAGCTTTCGAAGTGCACGCTGAACTATAATTCAACCTGACAATCCTGAAACCACTAAAACACAAAGTATTTAAACTGGTTAAGGTCTTGACCACAAATTAAATGGATGGAAAACTGAACAACCTGCAGTTTACTTTGGATTTTGGGAATTTTTTTTTTGTTTAAGTTGACTAAATCATCAAACTCTGCCTGGATATATCACTGACGCTGTGTTGTAATCCCATCCTGTCGTTGAGGTGTGTGTGTGTGTGTTACCTGCCTCAGCTCCTTCCTGTTGGGTTTTAAGGCTGCCATCGACCTGCAGTTTATGCAATCAGAACCAACACAGCAACGGTTATCAGAGGTCTGCAAAACACCTCCTTCCACCCTGTGGCCTCAGATGTACGGCAAGCCCAGTGCATTCCAGACAAGGTGGCAGAGTGACGCTTCTGGTTCGTGGCGTTTTGTCAGATTTTGTGCTCCTCAGCACAGAAATCTCTCGATGGGTGTGATTCTCACCCTTTCAGGGTCTCTGCTTCGACCGACGCCTGCTCCTGGTTCCACGGGTGCTCGTGCGATCAGTGTTTTTCGAACATGACTGTTTGTTTGTGGTGGGTGCAACAGAACTTTCTGTTTGCCTTCCAGTTGGAGAATGCAGCTGAACTGCTTATTCAGTATCAAATATCGAGCTGCTCCCTTGTGCCAACAGTTTGGCTTGACATCCGAACGTCATCGCTCGAAGGTGGAGATGGATGTCAGGGGTCATGCCAAGCTTGTCAGCGCACGCAGAGGCAACTCGGTTCCCCACCTCACTTCCTACTGTCACAGCGCGTCTGTAGTCAGAGAGGATGCTGGGAGATAAATTTAGACCTCCAGCTCCCTCTCCATCTGCCGTTGCTCAGAGTAGGACGGTTTCCATGGGAACGTGCGCCAGGCTACCACCAGGATGAGAGAGTGGAGAAGAGAGAGCTGTGTGTGTTTGTCTTTACATGTTTGTCAGGTTTATTAATTTAGATGTGCTTTCATAGACATGTTTTTTGTTGTTATTTTTCTTTTGCTTTTCAGAAGCACAGAGGAAGGTTTGTCTGTTCTTAGAGGACAAGATGATTAATGTGTAGGGAGCACAGTTTTTTTTTTTTTTTTTTCTGAATACTTTATGGACATTGTCAAAGTTTTTATCTGTAAAATCACAACAGAATTTAATAACTGCAGGTTGAGCTTAAGTTAAGCTCAATGTTTTCTGGGATTTACGCTCTTTAACCTTAACAGACCCGGCGAACGTGATGAAATGATGCAGTGTGACGACGTGCACACAGAGCGGATGAAGTGCAAGTTTCTGTGTGTTGAGGCTCCCCCGGACATGCAGAGTCTGTTAGTGCTGACGACGTCACCTGCATGTCTATACCCTCTGCACACATTCCTCACTCGTTGTGTCGTCCTGTTTCTGTGACTAAGTCATTAATCACATTCTAGAGGAGACTTCTGGAACTAGTTTACACAACAGATCACTTCATAAGCTGCTGGGCTTAGAATGAGTGGTTCAAAACATGGACGAGGTGGCGGAAAACCTTTGCTTAAATCACTATTGTTGGTTTTAAACTAAAACCACCAACCAATGGAATTTAAAGGGATAGTTCAGATCATTTAGAGTGGGATTCAATTGGTACAACTGTACCTGTTGTAGATAGTTCTTTGAACTAACTCGGTTTGGAGAAATAAAGATAAATTGTTACCAGATTGGCATGCTAACAGCAGTATGAGCGGAGCCAAGACCAAAGACTGTGTCTACAAAACAAAGTCCAATCTTAACATTTTCATTGCTAACAATACATTTTAAACCTTTGTGTTATCAGTTTCACATTATTCCAGCAGGAATATTATCATATTCCACATCAAAAGGAGCCAGTTGAGGTGGTTTGGGCATCTGGTAAGGATAGTCCCTGGGTGCCTCGATGCTTCAGGCATGTCTGACTGGGAGGAGACCCCAGGGAAGACCCAGGACACGCTGGAGAGACTATGTCTCTTGGTTGGCCTGGGAACGCCTTGCGGTCCTCCCAGAAGAGCTGGAAGAGGTGCTGTGGAAAGAGATGTCTGGGCCTCCCTGCTCACGCTGCTGCCCCCGCGACCCGACTTCAGAACAAACGAAAGATAATGATGGATGGATGAAATATTATGATATTCATGAAAAAAAAGCATTTGGCTGCACACAAAGTGCTGCAGCTAACTATACTGAATACTATGTAAGAGATCATGTAATAAATTGGCCACAGTGTAAAAGGTTTGTAAAATAATAGTTTCAAAGTTATTAAACTGACGTTGTTTTAAGACGGCAGCAATCCACCTGACTATTAGCTTAACTAGTTATTGGCTTATCAGTCTGATTAGAATTAAACTCTATCGCTAGACTGAGTTTGTTCAAAGGGCTTTCTACAACAGGTAAGATAATAATTGTTCATTCGCTCTCGACAGAACCCCTCTTCATAATATCTGAATCATCTCTTTAAGGCTGTAAAGCATCCTGCTCACACCTCAGCCTAAAAATAGAACGAACGCCCCCTTGCCCAACCTCACCAGTAAGAGAAGACACATTTACATAACTTGTATTTTTGTCTAGGCTCTCATTGTTATCTTATTCAACCATAATCAGCTTATTTAAATGCATTTTAGTGTGTTTGTGTGTAACAGACACCATTATAATAAGTCATCTGTGTGGAATGAAGATCATGGGAAAGGAAAATCCCTGTCTCCGATGAGTGTAGCTCACCTCGGGGCTCTCCAGACGACCGGCTGCTCATATTTACTGGAGTAGGTTTGGCGTTGCTGTGCGTTTTACTCCAAGGGGAGCAGTGCTATAGGATGTAGGTGTGCTTTTGTCTTCATGTAGGCTACAGTCTGGCGCTCCTTCCCCTCATCTTTCCGGCTCTGTGTTTCTTCGCTCAGACCTGGCAGTCTAGACTGCGATGAATAATGTAAGCAGCATTTTTTTTTCAACTTTAAAAACTGCCTTATTGCCTTGTTTCAAGGCCACATCAACAGCTAGTCATAACCAAACTTAAACTCTGATACATGAACAAAGACATTTGTTACATACGATGTAGAGGAAGACTTTGTTTTCTTGTCTTCTATCCAGATTTTCTTGTTTCTGAATGTAGTTAACAACACTTTTCAATTAGGCTCTAATAAAAGACTACTTTTGTGAGATTATGGTGCATCCCAGTGAGTAGCAAGTCCTTGGCTCAATGTCCCAGAATTGATAATGTTACAGCAGCCATAAAAGCATGGAGGATGAGGAGGATGGATTAAAAAAAAAAAACAAGACAAGTGAATTTTATGGGCTTTTTTTAGGCTAGTTCTGCTGTGTAATGGCTGTGTGCTACCACTGAAAATGTGCTTTAATAAAAGACTGGACTGCTCAGTGAGAAAAAAAACAGACTGGCCATATGATTGGCTCTCATCAGATGTGGAGAAATGTGAAGCCAAGAATCTGTCAAGTTGTTTCCAAACAGAAAGGTGATTATTCTTCTTATTTCACTGGCTCTAATGAAGGCCAACTGCGCTCTCTTTCTCCCACTCTCTTTCTGTGTGTGTGTGTGTGTGTGTGTGTGCATACATATGTGCACATGTTTGTGCACAAGTGCATATGTGTGTGTTGCTCAATATAAAAAAAAAAGGGGCTGTCATTACTGCATTGCCGGCACCATATAATGTATTATTCTGTCGGGTCTGATCATTTAGGCATTGGACTGATTGTTTTCTCTTCTTCTGTGTTTCTTGCTTCTATTTTAAGTTCCTCCCTCAAATTCAAATCTTTTAATCTTGTGAAAGAAACTGTGAATTCACTCAATGTGAAAGTCGCACCACTGCAGACATCTACAGCTGTGAAGGGAGCATGCATGATGTCCTCTTTCACTAAGCGCTCACCTCCAAAGGCTGAAAGGGTTGAAGATGGTATTAGTGTCATATACAGTGAATGATATTTGGATGAGCCTGCGCTAGGACTGTCAGCAGTCAGGGATGGCTGCTGACTGAAAATGTTTTGATTCGCCCGGACCGTTCCTTCGAATGTGCTTTTATTGGCTGCTGTACAAGAATCCCATGTCTTGACTTGAGATTGAATGCGGGGCTTTGTAGTAAGTGGGAAACATCACAGCACATTGATCTTGATAAGGAAGGAGATTTTTGCTGTAGTCTCATCTCTGAGTCTGTGTAACTGGCTATTCTTAGCTCTTCATAAACACAGCTTTCTCATACTGTGTAAGTGGGAAATATTACAATGGATCCATCTTGATTAAAGGTTTCACAGGATTCTCACAGCAGCATCGGATTCACTTTTTGGCCTCTCATAAGCTGTTCAGCCTGGTAGCAGCATGATGTGAGGGGAGCCTTTTCAGCTTGCATCGAGAATCAAGTGGTCTAAGTTTACCTGCGTCAATGGACAGCGCACTTTCTTTGTTGTTAGTTTATCTCTTTGTGTGATTCCTGTTAAAAGCTCAAAATGACATGCTAAACTTAAAGTAGTTATTTCATGCTTTGCTGTATGAAATGTTTACATCTATTTAACACCCATCAAATTTTCATCCGTACAAACTTGTTTCCTTCGCTTATCCGTGGTGGAGTCTCGGAGACAGCAGGTCCATGAGAGAAACCAAGACAGTCCTCTCCC